TGCTGACAACAGATAATGTAAGCTAAATTTAAATAAGAAAGGTGTTTAGGGTACAAGAACAAGAGTATTTGACTTGTTTTCCCAAATGCTTTAGAACAGGGTTCAAAATCTAATTGTGTGTTCTTTTCACTACAGAGTCCCAAACTGTCCCTTGTCTACTTGTTTTCAAGAGTTTAATAGAGGTGTGAATTGGTCTTGAGTCCAGAACATTTAAATAAGTCTTATTAGAATGTCAGACTTGAGAAGTTTTTCGTTGTTGTTGTTGTTGCTGCTGCTGTAGTTGTTGCTTTTGTCTTTCGGATTTGGGATTTGGAGTTCAAATAGCATAACACTTGGGAACTTCCTTGCCCTAGAGGAAAAAAAAAAGGACTTTTATGTATTCCACAGCCACTATAGAAAGTAAAGATAGCTTCATATGTGTACACTGCAAGTAAATCTCATATTAGAAACCTTATATTTTGTATTGAAGAAAGAAGCCGTTTAATTAAAGTGCAAATTTGGAATAAGTATGATTTCCATCAGATTTATAATTGATAGTGGCTCTAGTGGCTCACCTCTATAATCCTAGATATATTCGACTCTAGCTCCAAAATAACCAGCAAAAAGCCAGGGCAGAGGTATGACTCAAATGATAGAGTGCCAGCCTAGCAAGCAAGCCAAGTAAGTTTGGGGCCCTGAGTTCAAGCCCCTCTCTATACCTATTCTTATATTTATAATAATATTAATAAAAATATTGATAGTTGTTCCGATCTAATTTATGAATATTTCAAAACATATTTAGTTGGGTTTGGCATATATTTGTTTGCTTTGTGAAGAACTCAAATTTGTTTTTTCCAATTTTATTTAAGATACTTGCTGTCTTAAGGGAATGGTCATCAATTGGTCTTTGTTTAAGGCTATTTAACAACAAGCAGGCAGAGATGGTTTCTAGAAGCTACTTTGATGAAATTTCAGGCTGGTTATCGCTATACAAACAGGTGCCTGTGGAGAAGCCCACAATGAGACTATTCAGACAGGGCCTGAAAACACAAGCCAACCAGCTATTCACAACCTGCCAACTGGGTCATTAAGAGGTTTCATTTTCAGATCTTTTATTCTAGATTGAGTAGCTGTAACTAGTGCATTTTTAAAAATTCTACTTACATATAGCTTCCTAGTTAAATGTATTTCATATGTAACTATATATAAAGTATATAAGCAGTAAATAACTATATATTGAGTATATAATGCATAATACATATAATAGGTATACATATAATATGTATATAATCGTATGCATATTATATGTTCACATATAACACATATTATATGACTATATATTATATATACTTAATATACACACTTATATACTATTTATATAATAGTATATAATATACTAATAGTATATTATAGTATATAAAATATACTAGTTTTATATAATATATTATGTATTTATGAATAACTATGTGTTAGTATGTTATATATCATGTACTATTATATATAGTTATGAATTTTATTTACATATAGCTTCCTAGTTAAATATAGTTATATATGCTAATATATAACTACATATTATATTATACATTATAAATATATAGCCATATATTATATATTATAAACTATATAAATTATATATTTAGAAATGATATAATTATAGATTATATAACATAAATTACATATAATAAGTTATAAACTACATAATATATATTATATGCATATAATTATATATTATATACATTAGAAAGTTATATAGTATATATAACTATATACCTATTTATATATAACTATAATGTATAATATATAATTATACATACAATTACATATAATATATAATATATGTAATTATATGTTATATATAACATGTATTTACATATAACTATATATAAATATATATGTAACTATATATAATTATATATAACTGTGATATACAAAACTGTATATAGTTGATTCATATGTGTATATGTTCGTGGTAAAGGTCTGTTAGAATTGACTGTATGTATAGTATATATAACTTTAATATATTAACTGTATAGTTGATATATATATATATATATATACATATATATATATATATATATATATATATGTATGTTCCTTTATTGTAAAGGTCTGTTAGAATTGACTACTAAACAAACCAGTTACCCAGTCCTTCTGCTGCTTAGCACTGCAGTACTTGCCCTTTAAAGATAATAATACTAACAAGTCTCAGTTTTATTTTCTTCTTTCTTTGTTTTTTTTTTTTTCTTTTGTGGTACTAGCATTTGACCTCTGGCTTTGTGCTTGCTAGGCAGGTGTTTTACCACTTGAGTCATGTTCCTAATCCTCTTCTCCTTTTAGAACTACAATGTGAAAGTCTTGAAAGTCCTTACTCTAACTGTTACTGACAAATACAGTTCATGCGAACACATCTACTTCTGGCACATGTAGTCCTGAAGTCTGGACGTGTTGTTTCATTGATGCACAAAACTTCCCATGCAGTTTTGTTAATCCTTTTTTCTTTTCTTTTTGTCTTATCAAGCCAGGTGCTTTAGTGGCTTCTTAGTAAGACTTCAACCTGTGTTTAGATACTAGCCACTCACACCTGTAATCCTAGCTACTCAGGAAGGAGGATGAGACCCGAGAATTGCAGTTTGAAGCTAGTCAGGGGAGGAAAGATCATGAGACTCACCTCCAATTAACCACCATAAAGCAGAAAGTGGAGCAGTGGCTCAAGTGGTAGAGTACTATTCGTGAGCAAAAAAAGCCCAAGGGACAGCACCTTGGCCCTGAGTTCAAGCCTCAGGAATAGCACACACACACACACACACACACACACACACAAAGATTTCAACCTGAGGGGTGTCTTTGTTTCACCCTGGACATTATCTTTTTTTATTAATAAGGTTTTTTTAAATTGTGAAAATACCTTACAGAGGGGTTACAATCACATGAGCAAGGTAATGAGTACTTTTCTTATCAAGCATTGTTGCCTCCTTTGTTTCCCCTACCATCCCTGCCCTCCCATCCCCCCTTCCCCCCCTGCCAAAGTTGTAAAGTTCATTTTTGGTATAACATCTTGTACATCTCATTGTTGCAATGGGTCCACCTGTATCCCTATTTAAACAATTTGTTTTTTCCCTTCCCCTCCACAAAGTATACCAACATCAACTACAGTGAGAACGGGTTATACCATGGGGGAGGGACATACAAAGCAACAAAGAAATCACCTTATAAATATGTTAGAAACAATCGCAAGAAAGAAAACCCATTTGAGTCCTTATCTTGGGGTTCATTTCACCTAACATCAACTTATCTGACTGTCTCTGCTTGTCTCAGGCAAATACTAGTTATTGCAAATAAGGGAAACCATGGGACCTATGTTTTTGGGGGCGTGGCTTACTTCACCAAGTCTTTCCATTTCCTAACAAATGGGGCAAGGTCATTCTTTCTGATGGAGGCATAGAATTCCATTGTGTATATATACCACATCTTCTTGATCCATTCATCTACTGAGGGGCATCTGGGTTGGTTCCATATCTTAGCTTTGGTAAATAATGCTGCAATAAACATACTTGCGCTGGTAGCTTTAGTGTGGTCTTGTTTGTGATCATTTGGGTAAATGCCCAAAAGTGGGATTGCTGGGTCATAGGGGAGTTCTATGTGAAGTCTTTTAGGAACCTCCATACTACTTTCCAAAGTGGCTGAACAAGTTTACACTCCCACCAACAATGAAGTAAGGTTCCTTTCTGTCCACATCCCCTCCAGCATCTGTTGTTATTAGAGCTCTTGATTATAGCCATTCTAACTGGGATGAGGTGGTATTTCAGTGTTATTTTGATTTGCATTTCTTTTATGGCTAGGGATGTTGAGCATTTCTTCATGTGTCTATTGGCCATCCTTCTTTCCTCTTCAGAGAAGTTTCTCTTTAAGTCTTTAGCTCACTTATTTATTGGGCAGTTGTTTCTTTGAGGATTTGTTGTTGAGGGATTTAATTTTTTGAGTTCCAGGTATATTTTAGATATGAGACCCTTCTCTGTTTTATGGCTAGTGAAGATCTTCTCCCAATCTGTGGGCTTTCTATTGACTTGCTAGCTATGTCCTTTGCCATGCAGAAGCTCTGCAACTTCATGCAATCCCATTTGTCCAACCTTTCTTTAATGTGTTGTGTTTCTGGGTCTCTATTAAGAAAATTTCGGCCTGTGTCAAGGAGACCTAGGGTTTCTCCTATTCCATCCTGTAATGTTTTCAGAGTGCTGGACATTATCTTAAGCAATGAACCTGGAACTACACTGTCAATTACTACCTGACTCACAAAAACCTGTTTAACACCAAGCCAACATGTGTGTGTGTTGGGGGGGGGGGGAACATTTCAAACACTAAAATGCAGGTGGGCGCTGGTGGCTCACACCTGTGATCCTAGCTACTCAGGAGGCTGAGATCTGAGGATCAGGATTTGAAGCCAGCCCTGGGCAGAAAAATGAGACCTTTCTTGTCTCAGACCAGGCCAAGAAGCGGCACTGCGGCTCGGGTGAGTGGTAGAGCACTAGGCTTTGAGCAGGAGCAGCTCAGAGGCAGTGCCCAGGCCCTGAGTTCAAACCCCAGGACTGGCCCCAGGATCAAAAACTAAATACTAAAATACTAAAATGCCCTTGTGTGTGTGTGTGTGTGTGTGTGTGTGTGTGTGTGTGTGAGAGAGAGAGAGAGAGAGAGAGAGAGAGAGAGAGAGAGAGAGAGAGAGAGAGAGAGAGAGAGAGAGAGAGAGAGAGAGAATGGACCTAGTGACCCAGAAGCTGGAAAGCTGAATCTTGGGCCTGGTTATTGGGTCCTGGGAGCCATCTCCTGTTGGGGGGGGGGGTGTCCTCTTTGCACACGGCACTCTGAGGCGTGGATCTTCATGGCCCCTGGCTTTCGTGGTGGCTGTGGCTCCCTTGGGTCCCCCTCCCCCGGCCTGCACCTTGGGATGGGGTGGGGCGAGCCTTTGCGCCCCTCCCCGCGCACCTCCTCGGGGCAACACTGAACCCCGGTTCTCCTGTGCCTTGCAGACTTGCCGGAGGACGGGCTGGGGGACAGCGGCTCCACCGACAGCGACAAAGACGCCGCCGCCGCCACGGACGCCCGGAGCTCCCCGGACGGCGCCAAGAGCAAGGGCTGCTTCCCCCCGGAGAGCCCCGAGCTGGTGTCGGTGGACGAGGCGGCGGGGTACCCGGCCCAGAAGAACGGAGCGGGCGGCAGCACCCCGGAGAGCCGCCCGGGGAGCCCCAGGTTCCACGCCGCCGGCGCCGGCAGCGCCCCCGGGGCGGCCCCGGAGCCCGGCCAGCTGCTGATCGAGGGCCCGTCGGGGGCCGTGGCGCTGCCCCTCGGCCTGAAGGCCAACCGCCCCCCGCTGGACGTGCTGCGCAAGATCTTCCCGCAGCAGAAGCCCGCGGTGCTGGAGCTCATCCTCAAGGGCTGCGGCGGCGACCTGGTGAGCGCCGTGGAGGTGCTGCTGTCCAGCCGCTCCTCCTCCTCGTCCTCCTCGTCCTCCTCGTCGTCCTCCTCCTCGCTGTCCTCCGCCGCCGCCGAGCGGACTCCCGCCGAGCCCGAGGGCCTGGTGCTGCCGTCGGGCGCGCACCTGTTCGAGCACACGCTGAGCTCCTACCCGCTCTCCTCCTCCAAGTGGTCGGTGGGCTCGGCCTTCCGCGTCCCGGACACCTTGCGCTTCTCGGCGGACTCGGCGGCCGTGGTGTCCAGCCCGCTGGCCGTCCCGCTGCAGCACCCCTTCCCGCAGCCGCCCCGCTACCCGCTGGTGCTGCGCAACACCCTGGGCCGCAGCCCCTCGGGCCCCTTCCTGCCCAACGACGTCACCCTGTGGAACACCATGACGCTGCAGCAGCAGTACCAGCTGAGGTCGCAGTACGTCGGGGCCTTCCCCTCCAACCCGGCCCCCGGCCCCGGCAGCGGCGGCTTCCGGGGCTCCCCGGTCCTCCCCGCGCGCCCCGCCGACGACCCGCGCATCTCCCTCCCCGAGGACGGCTGCCCCCTGGTCACCAAGCAGGCCCTGTACACCGAGGAGGACTATGATGAGCGGTCCGACTCCTCGGACTCCAGGATACTCAACACCTCATCTTAAAAACAAAAAGGGGGTGGGGTGGGGAGGGGGGGGTGGTGACCAGCAGGGCACCCTCGTACCCCCCCCATGGTATATCCTGGGGGTACCCCTCTCCACCCCCAAGAGCTGGCCACCTTTCCTGGCATACCCTTTCCTTCGACTGTGCTTGAGATTCTATACATTTAGCAATAAAGGAAAAAAATAAAGAAGAAGAAGCATAACTTATTTAACTTGCACTTCACTGGAAAATGCCAAATAGCTCGGCTCTGTGGCTTTCGTGTTGAATGTTCCGTGTAGAAGTCTGATGGCCAAGAAGAAGAGTTGGGGTGGGGGTGAGGGGGAGGCCGGGGCCCAGGGGTTTGTTTTGAGAATGTAACACAGTTGGCAAGGCCAGGCTGGGCTCCTCCACTCCCTATGAATGTTAACTCGTATACTTGAACGCAGAACTTTGTAAAAGAGGGTTCCTCAGGATCTGTGAAAACCTAAAGGAAGTGGTTTGTTGGCTGGACTATTCACAGGGAGATTAGGTTCTTAGGTGAAACTCCATCTTGCATTTTTAAAAGACAGGACTGTACTCCAGTAGAAAGAGAACGGCTCAGATGCTTATTTAAGCTTGGACAGTTTTCAGAGACAAACTCCATGAAGAATTATTCTTTTTCACATGGCTGGATCAAAACACATGTACTGTCCATCACAGCTGTGAACTGCATGAAATGTATTGTGAAATGAACACAAGATTAAGCTTTGTCAGGTTAATGTAGCATGCTAAGGACTCTAGAAAAAAAATAATAAACTAAGGAGATGATCTTGGTTTATGTCTTTTCTACTTGTGGGGTGAGGATCTCTAACAGTAAGAACCTTGATGTAAAAGCTACTTACCAGTGTGTGGGGTCAGGAACCAAAGAACCCCTTCAATGAGAAATTCCTTGAGAAATATGAATGGCAAAGCCTTGGAGCGTCCATCAGAAAAACAGAAAATGTTGTCAAGGACAGAATTCATGCGGGGTGCCAGTGGCTCATGCTTGTAATCAGGAGACTGAGATTTGAAGATCATGGTTCAAAACCAGCCCAGGTAGGAAAGTCCATGAGACTCTTACCTCCAGCAAAGCTGGAAGTAGAGCTACAGCTCAAGTGGGACTGCAATAGGTCTGAGCAAAAAAAGCTCAGGAATAGTACCCAAGCTCTGAGTTCAAGCCTTGGGACGGGTATACACATGTGTACTCCCTCCTTCCCTCCCTCCCTCCCTCCCATTCTCTCTCTCCACCCCCCCCCTTCAGCAGTTTTACTGGTGTGGGGAAAGATTGAGAGACAAGGTAAGTGTTAATCCAGTAAAGAGCTGCTATAGAAATGAATGGTAAGATGACCAGACAGGCAACAGGTACCAGGGAAAAGAAACCAATTTTAGACCAATGGCCCAGGCTGTTAAGTTCATCCACAGGCTTTTAAGAGCTAAAGAACATTTAACTTTTAAAAAATTAAATTTTTTTTCAGTCATGGGGCTTGAACTCAGGGTCTGGGTGTTGTCCCTGAGCTCTTTTGCTCAAAGCTAGAGCTCTACCACTTGAACCACAGCTCCACTTCTGGTTTTCTAGTGGCTCATTGGAGATAAGAGTCTCATAGACTTTCCTGCCCAGGCTGGCTTTGAGCTGACATTCTCAGATCTCAGCCTCCTGAGTAACTAAGACTATAAGCCTTAGCCACGGCACCTGGCTAGAATGTTCAAATTTTATGAAAAGACATAGGACCAGAGAAGAGGGTATGAGGTGTAGCACCGGACAGGTCAGGTGTTACTCCTGAGGGCCTCAGCTCCCATGGCTCCTGGCTCGCCCCAGGAATAGATGAGGCCTAAGGCAGTAGAGAGAGTGAGGAGCATCGTGAGAACATTTGTCGAGTGCCCAGAAAACAGACTCTGTCTGCATTTGAGCTGACATATTTGAGAAATGAACTTGATTTTTACTGCATACTGTTTCAGTGATTCATTCTTTCGATGTGCATTTCCTCAGCAGAAACCAGTCGAAGATAAGATGGATGCTAAATTTATATGTTAATTTTAATATTGAAGCCATCCTCTGTTTGAAGAATAAGATCAATGCTTCAATTTCATTTCTTATGTGGCACTGAAATGCTGTCATTACTGGGGCAGGCTCCCCAAGTTCCAGTCTTTCACAGGGTGCAGAGGAGTCTGGGGGCCAGCGTGCTTGCCTTGCTGGTGGTCTGCTCAGAACAAGCTCTGTGTTCCCATCCTGTCACTTACTATGTCAATGTCAAGAGCCAACCATCAGGGTAGTGATGTTTTTCTTAAGTTACAATGGGGTTCCTTTACTAATTGGATTCTGAGAGTTCATTGGGCTACGTCTAGAGTTTCATCTAGCCTATGGGGCAAAGCCACCGGACTTCACCAAAAGTAAACTCAGCGTTTGTGCAGAAAAATGATCCCTCCCGAAGACTTGAGTCACTGCCGGTGGTTTTAGACCACGACCTCACACTTGCACTTGAGAGTCAGATGAACGTTTCCAAAAGGTCTGTGGAAAGTGCTTGGGGGGGGGGGGAGAGAAAAAGATGGGATTTCTGCCTCCCCGCAAATACAGCAGAACCAGATGTGTGCTGACTGCTGGGAGGGCAGGGGGGTTGGGCTAGGAGGTTGAAGAGGCTTCTCTCCCCAGCAGGCTGCTGCCTCTCCACGCACTCACTGCTCCTGCCTCGAGCAAGACAAGGTACCACCGTGTTCTCTGGTCTTTGTGCATTCTACATGTTACCCCAAGGGGCAAAGTGGGGTTCAGATTATAAGTGGGTGTCCTCTTTAAGCTTGTCAGAGCAGAAAAGGTGCTACTGGATGAAGAATCTCTTCTCCTCCCCTCCCGTCTCTCTTCCCCTCTTCTCTTCCATCCTTCCCTCCCTCCCCCTCTCCCTTCCTCCCTCCTTTCCTTCCTCCCTTCCTCCCTCCCTTTCTTCCTTCTTTGCCCCTCTCTCCCTCCCTCCCTCCCTCCCTCCCTCCCTCCCTCCTTCCCTCCCTCCCTCCCTCCCTCCCTCCCTCCCTCCCTCCCTCCCTTCCTTCCTTCCTTCCTTCCTTCCTTCCTTCCTTCCTTCCTTCCTTCCCTCCCTTTTCCCCCTCCCTCCCTCCCTTTCTTCCTTCTCCTGGGGTCTGAACCAGGGGTGTTCTAGAATGCTTTTTCTTTCAAGGCTGGCGCTCTATCACATGAACCACACCTGCACTTCCAGCTTTCCTTTTTCTGGTTCATTAGAGATAAGGCTCTTTCAGACTTGCCTTCAAACCCTAATCCCCAGATCTCAACCTCCTGAGTAGCTGGGATTCTAGGAGGACCAGTTTTCTGACCTTCCTTCCTCCTTCTATCCCTGCCTCCTTCTCTCATTCCTTTCTTCCTTTTCTTTCTAATCATGGTCTATATATCCTAGGCAGGTCCTGAACTTCCCATTCCTCCAACCCCCCCTCCCCCTTTACTTCTTCCATTATTTTCTTTCTTGACAGAGTCTTGGTATGAATGCTGGGCCAGCCTGTATCTCCCTTCCTCCCATTTCAGCCTCCTGAGGGCTGGGATTATAGACATGGTCCAACTACGTTGTACAAAGGAACAGGAGAGCCTAGCAGAGACCCTAAGGAAAGAGGGATAACGACAAGGAGCAAATGGGTGGCAGATGGACATTTTGAGAATTTAAGGGATTAGAATGGAAGCTGTGGCTGAATAAATCTTTACCCTGACCCCTTTGGGAAAACAGGAAGTAGTATTCACTTAAAGTGAATCACTCTATGATTAGAATTACTCCATGATTAGAAATGGAAGAAATCTATTGAAAAGAAATTAGATCATTAGTCTGTATTCAGTACCTACTAACTGTATCCATTATCCACTGACATTTTCAGGGCTGGAATTGAACCAAGGCCCTCTTGCATGCTAGGCAAACTCTCTACCACTGAGCCATAGCCATAACCTATGTTAAACCTTCATTCTGGCCTTCATCTGTGCCCTGATTACCCCCAGCTCTAAAAACCACTAGCAGCTAAGGTAGGTCATTTGGGGTCATTTGTGCAGTCAATGATGTCTGAAAACAGTGCAGGCTGTAGGTGAAAATATCTGCAGCAAACATTGATGGACGAAGTCTCTGGTCTTCAAAAGAGCTCTGTGAACCAGTCTATCTGCACGCCACCAGCAAATTCATATCTTAGATTTGCTGCAGGTCCTGAGTCTTCAAGAAACTTTACGTCTAATGTGACTCATTGTTGAAAATATTTTATGATTTCTAGAGCTTCATAAATTAGAAACTGCTGTGAGTATTGGCTGTTTATACCCCTAGGACAAGAAAGCTTCCTAATTCAATGCCGATTTGTTCAAATTAACAGTTCAAAGCAATTATTATTTTGAAGCATCTAGCAATCTAAAACCCATCCAAATTAATTTATTAAAAGCAGTTTTTTTTAAAACAAGCTTAGAGCCAGTGGCTCATGCCTGTAATCTTAACTGCTCAGGAGGTTGAGAGCTGAGGATCTTGATTAGAAGCCAGTCCAGGCAGGAAAGACTGAGACTCTTTTTTTTTTTTTTGGGGGGGGGGGTCCGGTCATGGGGCCTGAACTCTGGGCCTGGGCACTGTCCCTCAGCTCTTCAGCTCAAGGCTAGCGCGCTACCACTTGAGCCACAGCGTCACTTATGGCTTTTTTCTTTTTGCTTATGTGGTGCTGAGGAATCGAACCCAGGGCCTCATGCATGCAAGGCAAGCGCTCTACCACTGAGCCACCTTCCCAGCCCAGACTGCAACTCTTATTTCCACTTAACCATTAAAAAGCCAGGAGTGGATGTGTTACTTAAATGGTAGAGAACTTTTATCGAATGGGAGAAAAAGGAGAGTACCCTGGTCCTGAGTTCAAGCCTCAGTACCAGAAAAAAATAAAACAAAACAAAAACCCCCAAACAATTTTACCCAAAAAGTTGCATTAAAAAAGTGGATTAGTGTTATATGTTGATCCAAACAAGCATATCTATCATCCATCTATCTATCTATCTATCTAT